CGTAAGTAGAGAGAGAGAGAGAGTGTGTGTGTGTGTGTGTGTGTGTGTGTGTGTGTGCGTGTGTGTGTGGAGCCATGGATGCTTCGTGCTGCTGATGTTGTGGTCGCTGATGGAAGTGACGTGCTGCTGGCGCTGTACTGATCCTTGCTCATCATGTCATCTGCACGTGTTTTGGTGAATACCAGGGCTGCACGCGCGTCCAGCAAGAAGAAGAAAGGGAAGAAGTGAACACCGCTGGAAAGCGAATGTTGTCTTGTCCGTTTGTCGTGCATGTTTGTCGCACTTGCGGCATGCTTTCGTTGTGTGGTGTACAAAGCCATGGTGTCTGCGTAGCAATACACGCTCGCTCCTTCATGTGGGCATACTGTGTGCCAATCTCTGTTGGGTCGTTTCACGTTGTTATTCATCAGTCACAACACTTCATCAAATCCTTCAAAGCGACATGGGCAGTGAACAAGTGGACGCATCAAGGCAGCTCTAAACATAACAAAAAGCAAAGGGTCGCCAAGCGTCATCGCACATTCACGTGACTCGCGCTGCCCTCAATAACAGCCAACAGCTACAGAAACATACGGACGCACGAAAAAAAGACGCCAGTGCCACAGGAACAGTTGTGTATGTTTGGTGGGCGCGCAGCTAACCTGAGGCGGGGAAGGGACACACACACACACACACACACACACACACACACACACACACACACACACACACACACGAAAAAGCGTTGATAGTCACAGTACAGCAGTGTTCAACGCTCTCGCTCGTCGTTCGCCATCACGTCATCACACACAGCATGTCACAACACATGGCAGTGATCACGCTATCGTTGCGCCATATGTGCCCTCCGGCGGGCGAAGTAACTTGGGCAGCGTCATCACTTGCAGTCGATTGAACGCATATCTACCAAACAAATGTCGTGGTCGTGGCCGTGGTCGTGAGCATTGAACAAATCACGATGGAAGCGATGGGGCAAAACAGGCAAAGGGACAGGCAAGGGCCGTGCATGCGTGTGTGCCGCAAGCTGCAACGGGAATCGCACCTGTAGTCGTTGATGTTCTTGAAGACGTTTTGTTTTCTCGTTCCCTTTGCGCGCATCAGACTCAACACCTGCACGTTCGTGCGTGTTGTGTGATATGAGACCATGCATAGGTATGCATTGAAGGCGAGAGCCTCTCCTCACACTTCACAATGCATTCAAAGGCATGCCATCCGCCTAAAACCGAGCTGTCACCATCACCAGGGTGACTCCGTGCGCACCTTTGGGATTTTGTCTTCGGGCAGGTCGTGGCGGTCGCGCAGGAGAAACGCGGCCTCAAGCGTCACTGCCATGCTCGAGCGATCCTGATGTCAAAAAGGCAGAGGCAGAGGCAAAGGCAGAGGCAGTGGGGTGGCAATTGTTGTTAATGTGGTTGAGGAGAAGCGAAGGCGAGACAAGACAAGACGAGAGACGACGCGGCGAAATGCTTCACATCAATTACAAATAACACCACAAATGACAAACAAGCACACAGACACACACACACATGAACACACCTTGCCGCTCTTGCACATTGTGGCGCGACCAGCGTGCATGAGACGCGCAAGCTTCTCGGAATCAAAGAGGATTTCAATGTTCTTCTGCTTCTTCGATTGCATTGCCTGCAAGCACAGCAGAACAAAATTGGTGCGGCGCACCGTGATGTGAGCGCATGCACCAAGCAGAGGCCACAGCCCAAGCGTCATTCGCATTCCATGCACAACAACAACAGCACCATGCAGGCCACTTTCATGCATCATCATTACCACCATCACCACCACCAGTGGCTGACCTGCCGCAGCTGCTCGAGCTGTTCGGTGATGGCCGTGCGCGTTGGGGCAGCCGTGGACGGGAACGACCGTTGCATGAACTTGAGATACGACTGCGTGTACCGTTCCAGTGATTCAAAGCTGTTCGCCGCAGTCGGATATGTTTGTGTGTGTTTGAGGATGCCAGGTGAGAATGGCAGGTGAGGACATGCTTTTTGGGGGGGGGATGGAGAAGTGGCAAGAGAAGCCAGCGCATGTGGCACTGAAGCTATGGGAAAGACTGGGAGCAGGGATGGCGTTACACGACTCCGTGACATTGCTTCCCACCTGTATTTGTTGATTTTGTCCTGGATGTCAGTGTTGCCGATACTGTTGGCCACTGTTTGCATCTCGTTGACGCCCTATCGATGGAAATGCGCAATTGAAACGCGCGAGATGAGAAACACAGCAGAGCAGATGGTACCTGTGCCCTCGCAAACACGCAGCCACACACGCACAACCCCTGCCACGGCTACCACAGTGGGTTGCTCATCGCTGTGTGCTCGTGCAGACAGACCTGTGTGAAGAGGACGGGATGGATGGCGATGGTGGCGTGGTGCAGCTCTTCAGGCAGCGCTCGCAGCATCCGCGGTGCCACCCCAATCTGAATGAAGCACACACGCGCACGTAGTAGGCATGATGTGATGCGGAAGAGGGGCGGAGCAACGTGTGAGATGGGATATCAACTGGTGTGTGAAGTGTGGTTGGAGTTGTGGTGTGGCCAGTGCTCATGTGCAGGCTTAACAGCACACGTTATTGGCGAAGGTGCAAGCGAGCTGCACAGCGCAGCAGGATACGCACGTTGACGGTGATGTTGTTTCGCGTTCCCTCCACCATCGGGTCGATCTTGTTTCCTTTCACGGGCGACAGCTGAAGAAACAAGGCAAAGCGAGCAGACACACACACACACACACACACACACACACACAAAATGAAATGCACAGGCTGTGAGTGGGAAACAGGCAACAAGAAGGGACGGCACAACTAGCACGCACCAAGCACGCTTCAGTCATCATCAAGCGGTGAATCAGTGGATCAAAGGCCAGAATGAGTTGCTTGTCACGAACCGTGAACTTGACGTTGGCCAGAGCCTTGGTCGCCTCAAATGTGTCATCGAGCATGTCTTCCTCGTCGCCCTGCATTGATGCGCATGTGTGTGTGTGTGTGTGTGTGTGAAAATACGTGGTGAGGTTGAGTTGGGTGAGGGCACAAGTCACGCAAGTCGGCGAAAACGCAGGCAAGCCAGTCCAAACCAACCAAAACAAAACACCTCAACAAATCAAATCGCGCACCTGTGTGCTGAGGAGAGAGGTGATGTGGAAGAGAAAGCCGACGTCTGCGAGCTGCATGGTGAACACAGGGTCGCGATAGAGCTGACCAAGCTTGGACACGAACCCGGTCACCAGCATCGTCAGTGCCTGGCTGAAGATCACGTCTTGTCTATTCGCGGTGGCGTTAAGGGGGGGGGGGAGGGCGGGGGAGTGGCAGGGGTGAGAGGAACAAGTGGGACAGATATATGAGAGAAGGAAGAAACGATGGAGGAATCAGAAGCCGTGAATGAACTGCCCCCCCCCCCTGCAGTCATCCGTTCACACTGAGATGCGTGTGCGTGCAACTTGTCCACTCACACGCACAACATACACAGCGGGTGTTGACAGACCTGTGCACGAGATCTGGGAAGTCGACGGTGTGCTCGTTCTGCTTAATCTGCACAACATACAAACACTCCTGCACCTCGTAATAACACGACTCGTAGCAGAGCACGAGCGCACGCAGCGCCTCGGGCACAGGCGTGTCCTCATCGCCGCTCGCAGCTGCAGTGGTGTGTGTGTGTGTGTGTGTGTGTGTGTGTGTGTGTGTGTGTGTGTGTGTGTGCATGTGTATGCGTGTGTGTGCGTGTGCGTGTGTATGCGTGTGTGTGTGTGTGCGTGAATCGCAATTCAGAAAGGTGACAATGGTTGCATCAGCGCAGGCTTGTTGGGGGACATGCAACGCTGGTCAAGCGAATGCGAACGGGCGCCCCACCTCTTTGCAGCGTTGCCCATGATTCCTCCAGGGCGTTGACAAACTGCTTCGGCTCGCCTACATGGCGCAGTAGACGCATGCCCCAGCATACCAGCGTTACGATTGAGCTCACCAAACGCACAGCATCACGCTTGCAGGCATGCGCATCGAGGGAGAAAGAAGACGAGGCACAAGGCACGCATAATAGAACAATATCAACAATACAGCACGGTAACAAGCGGCCAAAACGCACTGATGCAAATGTCGAGCTTTGGCTTTGCTTGTCTGAAGCGTGATGCCTGCGCGTGTGCCTGATCCATGTGCAACGGTTGAATACATTTGTTGTGTGTGTGTGTGATGAGAGTGTACGTGTGTGTGTGTGTGTGTGTGTGTGTGTGTGTGTGTGTGCGTGTACGTGTGTGCGCGCGTGGGTGTGCGTGTGTGTGTGCGTGATGAGAGAGAGAGAGTGGGTGTGTGCATGTGTTTGTGCGTGCAAACGACACACGATCCCAGCAGCGAGCGCTACTGCACAAGGAACCAAACCACGGGGAGTGCGCTCACCTTGAGGATGTCCTTGTGCCTGAAGAGGGCGAGCATCTCGTCGACCATGCAGCCGAGTCCGTCCAGCGCCCGCTTCAGCGCCTCCCCGTCCTCGTGCGCAGTCAACACAGCAGCCTGCACACATGCACCCACATGAAGGTATACACGCGCGCGCATAAAAATGCACACACGCGCGCGCACACGCACACACAACGCACACGCACACACGCACACACGCACACAACGCACAACAGACACAGCGTGTTATCGTGAGAGAAGAACGCATGAACCTGTTGATGGATTTGCGGCATTGGACAGACGAGGCAAATTGACAAGACAAAAAGTACAGGGACGAACCTTCCACTGCGCAAAACCGGCTGCAAGTTCCGTCAACTTGTCCTTGTATCGCGCAACGTCAATTGTTCGCTTCGGTCGCATCTGGAAAGTGAACACAAGCGTGTGTATGTACGTGTGTGTGTGTGTGTGTGTGTGTGTGTGTGTGTGTGTGTGTGTGTGTGTGTGTGTGTGCGCACGTACATGGGTGCACGTGTGTGTGTGTGTGTGTGTGTGTGTGTATGTTTGGTACTGTGAGCATTGGCGGCATGCACGAACAGCAATCCCCCTACACATGCAAACGAATACCAACACACACACACAACTGCATTCGATATCACGCCCACACCTGGTTCATCTCTCGTTTGAGTGCGCCGAGGCCACCGCTCTTGAAGCCAATGCTGTGTGCAGCGGGGCAGCCGAGCGTCAGCGTCTCGTACGTGTGCACCTGGCCTGTGTGGTCCTCAACCCGCAGCAGCTGCGAGTGCAGGTTGGTGGCAATCATCTCCAGGTGCTGGTGCTTCTTCAGCCGACTCGGCTTGAACGTGCGTGTGTACCCGTCCACCTCAGACTGGTGCTGCACATAGCGCTGGCGCCGCTGAAACACCCGGTCATACAGCTTTCGCTTCACTGCACGCGTGACACATGAGGGGAGCGGAGGAAGCAAGGTGACAAGGGGGGGAAGGCAGGGAAGGTGAGGGAGAATGGTGTGAAATGTCGTTATGAGTGTCGTGGAATTGGCGAGTGGGGTAGTGAGGGGTGGGGTATCAGCGTATGCATTCCAAAGTACAGTGCATACAAGTTATTCTTTCCACCTTCGACATATCTCCATCACCGTCACCAACAGCAACAACAACACCGCCAAAAATAACACCACATATCACCACCAGCGGCGTCACCTGTCTGGAGGGGTCCGACGAGCTCAATCTGGTCGAGGGCCTCGAGGTGCTTCCTGTCCTCCTCCATGTACCGCTGGATCAGCTGCATCGGGATGGCCCGGAAATACGGCGACTCCCGCATAATCTCCTGCACGTTGATAGTCCCGCTGGTCGCGTGCATTGATTGAATGTGGTGTGTGTGTGTGTGTGTGTGTGTGTGTGTGTGTGTGTGTGTGTGTGTGTGTGTGTGTGTGTGTGTGTGTGTGTGTGTGTGTGTGTGTGTGTGTGTGTGTGTGTGTGTGAGTAAGCATGTTTTCCATGGTGTGTGCGTGTTTCCATGGTGTGTGCGTGCGTCGAGGAGAGAAGCAGGATGCGTGAGAGAAAAACAGGCGGATTACGGACAAGCCACAAAACAGGCGCGGACAGATATACAGCATGAGACGCTTGTTATATTGCACGTCAGCACGTACTCTGTGACGTTGTGTGTGGTTGCGTATGTGTCCTCATACGCTTCGTCGATCAAAGCCACGGGATCGCGCACAATCAGAGACGAAATGCTCGAGGTCTCGTCCTCCTCTTCCTCCTCCTGTTGTGCAGCATGTCACGTGAAATGTATCAAGAAGTGAGGCGCAACCACAGCAGGGCAAACATGCATGCATTGCACGCATGTACAAACTCGCGCACCCAAGTTTCCACCTGCCTTTCATTCGACTAGTCGTTTTGCACTTTCACAAGCTGCACACATTTACACACAACGCACCTCATCATCTTCAAAGGGCGCATCCTCCATCCGCGGCGTTTTCAGGAACTTGACCTGACGTCACGCAAACGTGCGCAAACGTGCGCAACACACACACACACACAAGAACACAAGTACGTGTGTACGACGTGAGCAAAGGCGACGGTACGTGATGACATTCATGCACACATGTAAAGACACAAAACAGTGCGCAATGCGATGGTATTGCAACCAGCAGGCGAGTTCAGGGTGCCTGCCGCGAAACCAAATGCAAAACATGCCGCAAAACATGCCACACAACTACTTGTCCCCACTCCGTCACAGCAAACACGAGGGCGCGGGTGTACGTACGGTGGTGCGTCTGCAGTTGATCTTGATGGCACCGCTGGCCACGTCGCCATCAGCGGTGGTGAACGTCACGTCAGAGGTGATGGGCTGGCCCGTCTCGCACGACGACAGCACATCGTCCACCGTCAGCTCCAAGCTCCCAAGCAGCTGCGGCGGTGGGCCCCCGGGCTGATGGTGGTGGCGATGACGAGGGGAGATGAGAGTGATGGTTGGAGGCAGGGGAACAATGCAAGGGGTGGGAAAGTGAACACACAGCGCGACTGCAAAATGCACAACGAATAACACAGATCTACAAACACACAAACACAAATGCACACACACACACATGCACACGCATGCCGACGACACGGAAGCAATCACAACACCAACGAGTAACGCCAGCACACAACTCAAGCACATGGCACAAAACCACATTGCACAGCCCACCTCTGCCATGGCCATTGAGTTTGGCACAGAGTTGAAGATGTCTTCCTTGAACGGGTTTGTGTCCGACAGCTCGATACTAGACGCAAGGCTCACGTCGTCATCATCATCATCATCGTCATTGTCCAGCGTGTCGCTGCGATCGCGCGAGAGGCGAAGTGGCTGTGGGTTTCGCATTGGGTCTGCAGGTGCACTGCTCTCCGCCCCACTCGATTCGGACGACTCATCACTCGCCATGGCCATGCGTGCCAGCGCTTCCTCTGCCGCAGGCGACAGCGACGGTGTGGCCGAAGTGCTCGCTGTTGCTGTTGCTGTTGCTGTTGCTGTTGCTGTTGTTGATGAGCAGCCCGTGTCACCGCTGCCCGCGTTGGCAGCGCTGCCACTGCTGGTGCTAGCGCCTGCTGTCTTGGTGGCTGACTGCTTGTTGCGGCGGCGGCTGAAGAGGCCACTCAGCGTCTTGCGTGCTGTGGACCGCCCTGCCGGGGCACTGCTGCTGCTGCCCGTGCTCGCAGTGGTCGACTGCTTGTCGTCATCGTTACCATGACTGGCATCACCACCACCTGTCGACACGCCGTTCTCGCCCGTTGCTGGCGTGTCTGTTCCTGCAGTCGTCGGTGCTGCTGTTGGTGGCGTCTCTGCTGCCGAAGTGGCTGCTGCATCGTCCGTGTCTGCACTTGGCGCAGCCGTGGATGTGGACGTGTCAGCGGCGCTGGCTGCAGTGGTGGTGGTGGTGGTGGTGTTGGCTGCAGCAGTTGCCTTCTTCTTGTGTGATTCGCGGATGGCGGCCACGATCATGGCGGGGTCAATGTCGCCTGCGTTGGTGATGGCGCGCGCCAACACGTCCTCCTCCTCCTCCGTCGGCTGGTTTGGCGACGTCATGGGGCCCATGAACGCCTGCACGAGCGAGGCAACCGCGCTGCCGTTCTCGGGCACAAAGGGAACCTGGTTGTACACCTGTAGGCGCAGCTGCGACGTGGTCTGCAGCTCCTGCGGGCTCAACGACACGGGGTCCTTGAACTTGGGGATGGTCGTCTCCTGCGTGGCGTATGTGTGTGTGTGTGTGTGTGTGTGTGTGTGTGTGTGTGTGTGTGTGTGTGTGTGTGTGTGTGTGTGTGTGTGTGTGTGTGATTGCGTGTGTTGCGGGGGGGGCGAAACAAGGTGGTGAGCGCAACAACAAAGCATCCTTCACCTGATATGATGGACAGCAACGCACTTTCACACCCTCAAACAAAGAAAAGCCTCCCTCGCCACCCCCCCAACCACTATTGTCACGATTGTGATGCAGGTGACCGCACCTCAATGACCTCCGTGCGCCCGAGCGGAATCCACTCGTCGCCGTCGCGTCGCTGGACAGTCACAAACGTGGTCGGAAACATCCGCTTGCGGCTGTTTGCACGCGCCAGCATCGGCAGCCCGTAGCACTCTGGTTATGTGATAGGAGGGATGAGACGGTTGGTTGCGTGGGGGATTAGTGTGTGGGGAGGAGGGGGGTGAGTGCAGAAATGATGCGAGGTGAAGCTTGCCGGTGTGAGAAGCTGTTGTCTGAAGCAAACTGGCTGTTCACACTGAAGCCACACACGCACATAACACACATAAACACACTAATAAACACACACATAAACACACACATAGCTTACGCGCACTCGTTCATGCACCGCCCCAAGCCACCTTGTCTCCTCTCTCTCCGTTCCTCATTGCCTGTCATGTGCATCTCACCGATGATCATGACGAATGAGACGTCGACTTCGCCGTCATATCCCATGCTCGCGCTCGTCGCTGCGCGTGTGTCCCGCGTGCCCTCGCCCGCATCCGCTGACGTCGACATGTCGCTCACAGTCATGTTGAACAGCCGGCGTGTCGGCTGCAGCGTCGGGTATGTGTGTGTGTGTGTGTGTTTGTGTTTGTGTGTGTGTTGGTACGTGAACGTGTGTTTTTTTTGTGTGTGTGTGTGTGTGTTTGTGTGTGTGTGTGTGTGTGTGTGTGTGTGTGTGTGGATGAGCGTGTGTTTGCATATGTGGATGTGTGTCGATGTCTTGCATGTGCGGTCACAGGGCAATGGACACGTCGAAACACGAAAAGAAGAGCAAAAGAATATGGAAAGGCAAGCGAAGGCCACGCTGCTGCCTGCTCACCTCTGGTGCTGCGACGTCTGGCGTCAAACACTGGCAAAACGACTCTGACAGCGGATTCTGCTCACAGAGAGAGTGACAGAGACAGAGACAGGACACGTGTCAGTGCGTTGAAAGTTCACGCACGCACGCACGCACACATACACACACAAAGACACACACACACAAAGACACAAAGACACATTCGCCAGCAGCATGCATATGCGCAAGCACGCGTGCACAGCCGTTTCGTACTCTGCCTGTGAGGTCGATGAGGCGTTTCTGCAGTGTGATGAGTGTGTTTCGAAGGTGTTCAAAGCTGCAAGGAGAGAGGGGGGAGAGGGGGGAGGATAATGCACAACAAACACGTGTGAGTATGCACTTGTTGGATCGGCGTCCACGCCAAATTGGGGAGAAGAGCAAACAAACTAGCAAACAAACAATCCACAAACACGTACACACACACACACACACACACACACACACACACACACACACACACACACACACACAACAAACCCTCACCCAAAACCATATCCACACAAGCACAAACAGAACAACGTGAACGGAAGGTGCGTACCTTGCCTGTCGCAGCTTCTCCACCCACACTTTGCGCATTTCAGAGGATGACGCGGACAAGAAGTACACGCGCGCCTCGGGGCTGTCAAACTCAAGCCGGAAGCAATACCGCTGCGTGTTGTCTGCGTGTCTGTCATTCACTACAGATACACGCTCCAACACAATGCAACCGAGTGGCTCCAGCCCCTGTTTGCCAGGAGCAAATCCCACCAGGACGCACAGGGCGCACACAGATGCATGTCAGGGTCATAATCACGACAAGAGCGTGTGATGCAAAGCATGTGGTTGAAACACACACACACATAAAAGTGCAAACACACACACACACACAAAGTGTAAACACACATGGACATGACACACGGACACAACACACACACGCACACGCACACGCGCACGCACACGCACACACACGCACACACACACACACACAACATACACACGCACACACGCACTTACGGCGTCTGGGGATCGAAAGTAAAACAGGAAATTGCCCTTGAGGACAAACCATCGCTTCCGGTAACCTAGTGTGCGCAACGTGAAGTGAGATGCCGTGCAGTGTGTGAGACAAAGTGGTGAGATGACAGTGATGAGATGAGGGTGTGACCCTTGGAGATATTTGTCGAAGCAAACCCCCAAACAGGTGTTGGTGCAGCAAACACGGACACGACAAAACGCCTCACAACAGCCAAGCCAACCGATCTCCCAAATGTCGCTCAAATCACACACACACACATGAACACACATACATACAACGGACGTACCATCTCGTGCCCGCTCGCCGCGCTTCCAGAGATAGCCTTCCTGGTCAACATTGCCGACGTTGGCAGTGCCGTACAGCCGAAGCTCGCGCTCGTTGTACTTCATGATCTCCGGGCCAGGGCCGAAGCCAAAGACGCTGCCCAAGCGTAGAATGACGGCACTCCAACGACCTGCACCAAGCAGGACTGTCTCAGCAGACATGGTTGTTGCACGTACAGCGCAGTAGAGGTGAGGTTGTTGGCCAAAAAGCGATTGACAAGCAAAAAGCACGTGGGTGCGTGCTGGGCTTGTGGTTCGTGCGCTGTGTGCAGAGCAGACACCACTACGGCAAGCAAACAAAACACAGGAGGCATAAAGGCCTTTCTGCAGCGGCGGCGGCAGCGCAGCACCATTGTACGCCAGCACACGTGCATACATACACGCATACACACGCACATATGTGTGTGTGTGTGTGGAACCTTGAACAGACCCCCATCACATCACCCACCACAACATAAACACACCCACAACAACAGCAGCAGCAGCAGCAGCAGCATCACCTCACCGCACCACACCACACCACCACGACCACCAACCTCGCAATCCAAGAAAGAAAGCAACAGCGCAGCTCGCCAGCCAGCTTGTTGTGGTGAAAATTCGCTCAAATCTTTCACAATTCCTCCTTGCCCGCATTGTCACACGGCGTTTGGCTGGCTGGTTGCTCGAGTGTCCTCTCTGCTGTTGTCGCTTGTTGCTTGCTTGCTTGCTTGTGTGTGCTGCGTGTGCTCATTTCTCCTCATCGTATGCGGCTGCTGGGCGCTACTGTGTTCGTTGTTCCGTTTGCTGGGTGCAGCCACTCTATTGACGTTTCTTGTGCCTAACACACGCACCAGCTGTTCCTCGCGTGTGGCTTTCTTCTTTCTTGGTGTGGCTTTCTTCACTCTCTTTCCACACATACACAAACATATTACATTACCACACACACACACACAACACACTTGCACACACACACACACTTGCACACACACACACACACTTGCACACACACACCTCCCACTGCACCCACACGCACACACACACGCACACACCCACACGCACACACACACGCACACACACACACACGCACACACACACACGCACCACTGCACCCACACGCGCAAAACCACACAACCACACGCCATGACGAAGAGGAGGCCGTTGTGGATGGCACCAGTTCGTTTGGCGGCGGCGGTTGCTGCAGCGGGGTTGGCGCTGCTGCTTGTTGCGCCTTGTGACGTCGCCCTCGCTGCTTGCAACAACATCACGCTGTGCGAGGCATGCCAGCTGACCAACTGCTCCCCCAACACGACCGAGCCCCTGAAGGTGCAGTGTGCATCGCAAGGGCTCACCGAGCTGCCGTGCTCCTTGCAGTTTGACGACGGCACCCCAATTGCCCAGCTCGACTTCTCCAACAACCTTATCTCCATGGTCTCCGCTGCCGCGTTCCAGAACGCCGTCAGCCTGCAGCACACGCTCACCGCCCTCATCTTGGACAATAATCCAATCACCAGCATCGAGGCCGGTGCCTTCGCCACCCTCACCGCCCTCAACCACCTCAACATGAGCAGCCTCAAGCTGGCCGGCGCGCTGTCGGGAAACATGTTCTCCACACTCACGGCACTTCTTACTCTGCAGCTTGACGGCAACCAGCTCGACACACTGCCGGCAAACGCCTTTGACGGCCTCACCAGCCTGCAATCGCTCAATCTCGCCAACAACCCCATCTCCATTCTCAACGCCGACACCTTCCAGGGCCTCAGTTCCCTGCTCTCCCTCTCCCTTGCAGGCGCACCAATCAGCACGCTGTCGTCATCCTCCTTTGCAGGCCTCAGCGCCCTCACCACCCTCAACCTCAACCGCGTGCCCTTGCAAACGCTCAGCGCGCAGACATTCCAGGGCCTTTCCAGCCTGACCGAGCTCGACCTCAGCAACAAGAAGATTGCCGCCATTCCAACGCAGGCGTTTGTCGGCCTCAGCAGCATCGAGTCCCTCAACTTGCAGGGCAACCCGCTCTCCAAGCTGAGCGAAGGCGCCATATCCGACATGCCCAAGCTGACGTCCCTGGATCTGAGCAACCTTGCCATCACCGCCATCCCTGCACGCTCCTTTGACAACTTGGCAGCCCTGGGCAACATCACCTTGCAAGGCAACCCCATCGCCCAGCTGACCAACGCGTCCTTCAGCAGCGTGCCTTCCCTGCACACCCTCGATCTTTCCCGCTGCAAACTCACATCTGTCCCCGCTGCCGCCTTCACGGCCGCCACACGCCTGTCGGCGCTCACCCTCGCCCGCAACGCCATCACCACCATCGCTGCCAGGGCCCTGCGCGGGCTGTCCAAGCTCACGGCATTTGACATCTCCAACAATCCCTTGCGTGCCCTGCCAGCCTCCATCTTCCAAGGCCTCACCTCCCTCGCCACCCTCAACCTCGCCCACACCAACTGCACCCTCCTGCCCCCAGCCCTCCTCACACCACTCCATGCCCTCACCAGCATCAGCGCGGCCGGCACACCGCTGCGCGCCATTGCCACGGGCACCTTTGACGGCCTCCCTGCCCTGCAGCACCTCGACCTCAGCAACGCCCGCATCACCGCCCTGGCACCACACTCCCTCCACAACCTCCCGCGCCTGCACGACCTTGCCCTCGGCGGCAACCCGCTCGCCAACATCTCCTCGCACGCGCTCGGTGGCGATCTGTCGTCACTGACCACCCTTGATCTCTCTGCCCTGCGCATCGCCGCCATTGCGCCCCACGCCATGAGCGGCGCGACCAACCTCACCACCCTGCTCCTCGACCACAACGCCATCACCGCCCTCGCCGCCGACACCTTCGCCGGCCTTTCCCGCCTCGCCACCCTGCGCATCACAAGCAACCCGGCCCTGGCCACGCTCGCTGGCGGCGCTTTTGACGGCCTGAGCGCACTCGCCACCCTCGACCTGTCCCGCCTGCCCGTCGCCGAGCTTCCCTCGCATGTGTTTGCTGGCATGAGCAGCCTGCAGAGCGTGGTGCTGACCGGTGTGGACCTGCACACGCTGCAGCCAAACGCATTTGCAAACCTGTCGCACGTCGCTGCCATCTCCCTCGCCGGCATGAGTCTCTCCAGTCTGCCGTCCCACGCGTTTGGCGCCCTGCCTGCGCTCACATCCCTTTCCCTCGACAACAACCCGCTCGCCTCGCTTAACACGGACACGTTTGCGGGACCGCTGCCGCTGCTGACGACGCTGGACCTGAGCAGTCACGGCATCACCGCCCTGCCACCACGCACCTTCTCTGGCGCCACGGCCGTGCGCTCCCTCAACCTCGCGCACAACGCCATCACCACCATCGCCCCGGACGCCTTTCTGGGCCTCTCCAGCGCCACGCAGCTTGTGCTTGCAGGCAACCCCATTGCGCACGTGAGTGCCGGCTCGTTTGCTGGCCTTGGCGCGCTCACGTCGCTGGACCTGAGCACGTCCGCGCTTACGGGCATCGTGTCTGGCTCGTTCTCCGGGCTCGCCAACCTGACCACGCTCACCGTCGACACGCCCCACCTGCGCCACCTCTTCCCTGGCTCGTTTACGGGCCTCTCCTCCCTGCATCACCTCAGCATCGCCAACACGTGCGTCACCGCCCTGCCCGACGGCGTGCTGTCGCCGCTTGTGCACGTGCGCACGCTGTCGCTGCGGAACAGCAGCCTTGCTGGCGCGGCTGTTAGCACGCTCACCTTTGATGGGCTGAGCCAGCTGGTTGCCTTGGACCTCAGCAACAACGACATGACCGCAATTGGGGACAAAGCGTTCCGCCCCCTCAGCGCCACACGCACCCTCAACCTCTCCAGCAATGCCCTGGGCAACTTTACGCAAGCCGCATCGCACGTGTTCAAGGGCATGAAGGCGCTTCAAGTCCTCGATTTGTCCAGCAACCCCTTCTCCACGCCGCCCGCCAACCTGGCGTCCCTCTCCTCGCTCCGCAGCGTGTGCATGGGCGACGTGCCCCTCGACTGCTGCGGGTTGGAGGACCTGCGTGACAGCGGCGTGCTTGATCTCAACTGCAGCGTCGCTGCCATGTGTGCAATGCCCCTGCACCTGCGCGGCGCCAGGCTCATGGACACAAACGGCACGCTGTGCACGGGTCCACACAAGCACCCGCACAGCAAGGCGTGGTACAGGCAGACGCGCAACATTGCTGCGCTTGCTGGTGGTGGTGGCCTGGTTGTTGTCGTCGTGGTGTTCCTTGCGTACCGCCACCACCGCAGCACGCGCCGTCGCTATGCGTTCACCACCTTCGACGACGGCAGCGCCGATCTGCCTCATCCACCACCACCATCGTCATCAACACCAACAACATCATCATCACGCATGTCACGGTCGCGTTCGGAGCGCACTCCGCTGCTCCTGTCTGCATTCGACGACAGCGGGCGAACCAACACGCACACGCACGACACGTCCTCCCCGCGCAGGAGCCGGCGGCGGCGCGGCCGTGATGATGACGACGACGATCTCAACGCACTCTCCATCCGCATCACGCAGGCGTAGTCAGGACTGTTTGCGTATTTGGTTTGTATTGGATTGTGTGGGGGTGGGTGTGGATGTGGGGGCGGTGTGCTTGGTTTTGTTTGTTTGTTTGTTTGTTTGTGTGTGTGTGTGTGTGTGTGTGTGTGTGTGTGTTGCTTTGTCTGTGTGTGTTTGGTCTTGTTGGTTGATGTTTCTGCTTGGTCATGTTGGGGAACTTTCTTCTAATGTAGCATTTACTGAGCGGAGAAACGTGTGCGTCGTTGTTGTTACAGCGTGTGTGCATCGTTATCACCAATACACATCTGAAACGCATTCACGCATGCGCCTTGTTGACAATCACGCATACGCAATCCGTTTGTGCGCCTTTAAAGCCAAAAAGCCCAGTGCAGATGTCACGCATCAAACAGGAGAAATGCGGCGACCTGCGTGATGCGGACAGCGATAAATGACTGGAAGAAGTAGAAGAACAGGAAGGACGTTCCGATGGGTCGTTGGGTCTGATGTATGTATGTATCACGTGCGGCAGACGCATAGATGAGAGTAAGTGTGCGTGTGTTGGAGTGTGTGAGGCTGAAGACAGGGGCAATTGAGGTGGTTGAGCTGTGTGTTGGTAATGGCTGAACGCAAACAAACACCGCTGGCACATTCATACGAGCATGCAATCGCGTGCGCACCAGCATGCTGAGCGTAAAAGCGCTGAGAAATGCCGTGGAGAGTTGAATACTTGTGTCCTGCGTGCATGCAAGCAAGGAGAACGACGAGGTTGTGTTTGTGATGAGAAGCAACGCAAAGCAAACTCAAGCACAAACACATACACACGCGCACGCGACACATGCATACACGTACACATGCACATAAACACGTGGACACACACGCACCGCCACCACCACCACTACCACCACGACCTCCTCCTCCCCACCTCCTCCTCCTCGAACCTGGTTTTTGGACCACCAGAGGGCAATGACGGCGGAGGCGACGAGGGAGAGGAACGAGCGAAGAAAAATATCGCACGCGCCAGCATCAAGCATGGTCAAGACTCTTGCATTGTCAACTAGCCTACGGCACCACGAGGCTGCTGACGGTGCGCACGCGTGCATGGGCGACGATGCATCCCCGCGCCTGTCCATAGTGGCGCTGGCGTGTGGGAAGCGGTGAGCGTGCATGAGGTGCGTGGTATTGCCGCATGCCAGCGAGAGGCAAAGGTTGGTGAGGGCGACTGATGGTGGTGGAGCTGGCACGCGCGAGGAAGGCTGCGGACACACGAGCGGCGCCGCAAAAGTTGGGTTGTCCACAACAGCGTTGGTGACGACAACGGGAAAGTTGACCAGCTGGTGGACAGCTGGCGAAGATAAGTGGGCTGTGGCAACAACAGCGGCCAGGAATGCAAACCAGGGCACAAGGCGGCGCATGCGGACATGCGTGAGGGCGCGTGCAGCCGTCCAGCCAACAGCGAGTGGCACCAAGCCCAGGAGCACAAACGCCGCTGTGGGCGACGATGGTGATGATGGCGATGATGGTGGGGTAGACGTGGCAAGTGATTCAAGTGCAGCTGCACAAGTGGTGATGGCTTGCGGCAGCCAGGGGGAGAGAGAGGCCATGGTGGGGGTTGTGGTGGCAGTGGCCGCAGCAAGTGTTGTGAGCCATGTCGCAAGATATGGGGCAGCGTGGTAGACGGAGCATGCAGCCGCCACAGCCATCGCAAGCAGCGGCAGGAAGCACACGCCAATGGAGACGAGCGTGTGCCCAAACAGGCCCACGATCATGGTGGTGGCAGCTGCAGCCTCTGCGCCGGCCACGCCAGATATGGGCCAAGGCGTGCACGAGGCAGCCACGGTGCGAACAATGCTGAAGAGAACTGACGCAGGCATCAGCCATGGGATGGCGTGTTGCGTGGGGTCGAACAGTGCCGGTGCAGGCGGCGGTGTGACTGCCGAGGACACGACGACAGCAGCCACGACAGCCGTTGCCAGCAGGTGTACCCGGGGCGACAGCAGCGGCGGCAGTGCGTATGGGGCGTAGGCCAGCGCAAGCAGCAGCCGCGGCACGAACACGAACGCAAGCGCATCGAGGAGACACGTCACCACGCCCAAGATGCCCGGCATCCGCGTGCGGAAGGAGTCGGCTGCCCAGGTCATGCGCAGCGAGTGCTTGGCCATGATGGCCGTGGGGCGGGCGTACGCAAGCAGCGGCTGCAGCCAGAGGCTTGGGCGTCGTGCAACGTGGAGCACGTGGGAGCTGAGGGTGAACGAACGGGTGGTAATCAGCAGCAGCAGCCAGACGCTCAGCCAGAGCCGAATCCAGGGATGCACAGGTCCACTGTCGCTAACAACATTGCCATCATCTGCGGTGATGATGGCCTGTGCGATGGGCTGTCTCAACAGCCATCTCATCACATTCTGCACCACCTCCGGCGCCTTCAGTTGTGTACGTGTGTGTGTGTATGTATGTGTGTGCGTACGTGTGTGTGTGTGTGTGTCGCATGTGCGTGTGTGTCGCGTGAGTGTGAACGAAGGCGTGGCAGTTGATGTAAGGAGAGCGAACAGGGCTGCAGGTAGCACGAGCTGAAGATGAATAAGAAGACCAAGGGTGTGAGGGCGTTGTACCTGGATAGTCAAGGCGCTCACACCAGCGAGCGCAAGCGTGTCGAGGACGGTTGATTGCGATGGCAACTGCCACGTGCGAGTGTTCTGACCGAAAGTGTTGTTGTTGGTGCTGGTGTCGGAGTCACACAGGAGAGGATTCGTACCGCTACTGGATGTGGCAGCTGGTGAAGGAGCTCGCTGCACAGACGCTTGTTCTCGTGTCTTTTTGTGCGATGAGCTGTTTCGAATGTGTTCCTCTGCAATGTCCATCTTGCCATTGATGAACCTGTAATGTGTGTGTGGGGGGTGGATGTGTGGTGTGTATGTGGGTGAGTGTGTGTATGTGGGTGAGAGAGAGAGAGAGAGAGAGGGTGTGTGGGTGGGTGTGGGTGTCAGAGAGAGATAGAGAGACCAAGCTACGTACATGTACACCAATGCCAGCCCAAACCGAAAAGTGCGAGCAAGGATGTTCGACGGGCAACATGAAATACGGAACCACACAGAGACACACCTCAGCACCATGTGCTGTTCGCATGTGGCTCACTGAATAAAAGGGAACGAAGTAGAAGGGCTCAGGCGTGTGATGGCAGCGCGCCGACGATTTGTATCGAACAGCTGCTGGCGTAGCTCGGCCAAGCAGCGCAGTGTGTACTGTGCGCCTTGTTTCTCGTACTCTTCCGAACTCAGCGCGTTTACGGCATATCTCACAGGCTCGCCTTCCTCCTCTTCCTCCTCCACATGGTCCTCATCGCCAGAATCATCGTCCTAAGCAGTGTGCATGTGATGTGTGTGAGATGTGTGTGATGTGTGTGTGTGTGATGTGTGTGTATGATGTGGGTGTGCATGTGTGGGTGATGTGTGTGTGCATGTGTGGGTGATGTGTGTGTGCATGTGTGGGTGACATGTGTGTGGGGGGGGGGCAAACTGAACGTGACCATGCATTCACCCAGGTGCCTTTTGACAACAGACACGCTCTTGCGGCCGTGCCAATGTCAACAAATACGTACGTCGTGCTGCTTTGGGGCTGCTGGGTTACTGGAAGCAGTTGCAAAGCGAGCGAGAATGCGCAAGACAGAGCTCAGCACGGCAAGCAGCGCCGCTGCCGTGATGAGCACTGCGGTGGAAGGCGCTGACAGCGCGATGCTGTTGTTGCTGTTGGCGTGCATTGTAGAAAAATGTGTGGTATCTTTCGCGAAACGCGTGAGGAAACCGGACCTTGCTGAGCTTGTTTTTGAGTTGTTCGCGGCAGTGGTGGAGTCGTCGTGCTATGGTGCTGTGCTGAAGTGGAGTCGTAGTCCTTTTTGTGTCCGTTCTGCTTCTGAACTGCAGTGTTTGCCGTTCGCCTTTGCTCGTATTTATTCGTGTGAGTTGTCCCACCGGACAACACACAAACAGGCGAGCGAGCAACAAGAAGGAGTGTAATGTAATATGGAACCAAGCAGGGACAAGCGTTGAAAGCACCGTGAGCCTGAGCATGGCTCAAAAAGGCAAAAACAACCAAAAGCAATTGACATGACGCACCAAACAAACTAAACAAACGATTGCAAACAGCGACAGCAAGGGTGAGTTGAGAAGAAGGTGAAAGGAGAAGAAAACGAAGGTGCGTTGCAAGCACATAAACACACACACAGAGTCATAAATAAAGCAAAGAACAACACTCCATCAAACTACGACACGGGAAAAGCAGCACCGGCACCAGCAGCAACACATACGACACACGCATTGATCAACAGACGCCAAGAGAAAGAGAGAGAGGGGGGAGGAAAGAAAGTACACAACCACGCGAGGTGGGCAACACACAATCGCAAAGAGAAGCGACATCAGGGCATCGTCATGGTCAGCAACATACCTGTGGCCTGTTGGCCCCCAACTCTCCACCCCGTACACCAAATCAAGTGAAGCATGAGGGGGAAAAGCAAACAGTGAATGAACAGCAATGCCCAACAACATCATATTCATTCATACTCGTTCGCATACGAAAGCGGAGAAGGCTTTGTCAGCAAATTGATTCGGCTAGCGGAGGTGAGATAGGCGAAGGCAGAGAGTGATAGGGGACAATCGGCGGGGCGAGGGGGGTGGGACGATGCGGAGTGGTAGAGGAGAGACAGGTGAGTTGCACTGGAACACTGGAACCGGGAAGTCGGGGGGATGACGAGAGACACACTCGGGGCAGGCATTGATGCTCTCGTGCTTCAGCGTCCGTCGCGGCCGTCCACGCGAGCGCCTGGAGCAATGCCGTGGGCCACGCTGGCCGGGCGGGATGGGTGGGCCATCATGCGGCCAGCGGTGGCGGCCATGGCGCTTTGGGCGGTGACAGCACCGCCGTACATGGCGGAAGCGGCGGTGGCCGACACCTGGGCCTGGGCAGCGTGCTCCTGACCCTCACCCTGAGGCACGTGGTACACAAAGTTGGACCGCACCATGGCCTGGCACCAGTAAAAGAAAGACAGGGAAGCCAAGTGTGAGAATGTGTGAGCGGGCGTGTGTGTGTATGGGCGTGTTGTATGTGTGACAGTATCTGTGAGATAAAGGCTTGCTGGCGTGTACAGCGATCAACGCGCAAACTTACGACTAACACACCAGTGCACACAGCTCACAAACACCATCTCCCCCTCCCCCTCACACATACAATCTCCCCTCACACACACAACACACACGACACAACACAACACACAAATGTCTACGTGCACATTGTTTGTGAGCGAACCTGCTGCTGGGACGGGTAGACGAACATGGTCGGGTGATGCACGGGACTGGCGGCGATGTTACCGCTGATGCGATGCTGGGCCATCTGCTCCGTCAGGGCAGCCATGCCCATGTCGCTGCTCGGCGACGGCTGCACAGGGTAGCTGGCCACGGGGTACATCTGTGGGGTGTTCTGCACCGGCACCTGCGCTGTTGGGTAGGGGCTGCTCTCAAACCCATACTGCGACCACGGCTGAGATGCCATGTCTGATTGCATGTGAAATGACACATGAGCACCGGGCGGATGTGAGCTTGCTCGGGTATGTGCGGTGGGTGCAGGTGGGTACACATGCGTGTATATGCGCTTGAATGGTGTGTATGAGAGTGTGCAAAGCACTGGTCGACATCGCGGAACGAGTGGGAAGTGTGAGAAGACAGGCGAGACTCACAGACGGGGGTGTATGGCGAGTGCATGTTGCCCACGGCGCCGCCATGACCCTGGTACGACACGCCGTAGTCGTATGGCGACTGCATCTGCGCAAATCAGCAAACCCCAAGCCATCACAGGCACATGCATGTGAGTGTGCATGTATATGAGTGTGCATGTGTGTGAGTGAGCGTGTGTGCGCGTGTGTGTATATTAGTGTATGTGAGTGTACGGGTTCATTGCCTTGTCAGTCAGATTGGAGTCGTAAAGCCACTTTGAGTGCAGTCGCCAACAGAGAAGCCCGCCATCAAGCACATGCATCCGCACACACAAACACAACCACACGTGCGCACGCACACAGGCGCGCGCGCACACACACATAGCATGTTTGCGCTCGCTTACGTGGCTGTAGCTGCCGGGAGCGCTGGAAGGACCCATGGGGCCACCGCTGGACATGCCACCTGCAAGTACGCACATGTGGGAACACCAAGAAGAACAGTGACTCGTATGCTCTGCGGTGGATTGCATGTCAAACAATGCCACACGCCCACACACGCCCACACACGCCCACAAACATTCGTTCATACACACGTACACATATACACAGACATACACACACACGCACACACACACGCACACACACACGCACGCACACACACACGCACACACACACAGAATGACGCACGGAGGTCGAGAGGAGCGGGCACGCCACCACGGCGCGTATCAGTCTGGCGCATCTTTGACCTGCCAATACGCGCACACACGCAGGCACACGCACACTTGTCAATGTTCTGAAGTATTAACGACCAAGCAGTGGTCAGGTTACGTGACACACGCGGGCAGGAGAGGAGAACATGTGTATGCCTGTACGCACTCATTGCTACTCACCGTGTTGGGAATGCAATGCTCAGTGTGATCATCTTGCCAAAGACCTCACGTTTGTTGAACCGCTCAATGCACCTGTCGTTTCATGAGATGCGCGCACAGTGCACACCCGTTGCATCATGCAACAACGTGCAAAGCGTGTCGGTGAACAACTGCATGTGTGTGTGTCTGTGTGTACGTGCATGTGTATGTGTGTGTGTACGCGTGTCCGGTGATGCGTTGCAACACAACGTGTGCAAGCCAACAAGATGTGCTGCCAGACAGAGTGGGCAGAACAGGTACCAAAGGCGCTCACCGCTCGGCATCGCGAGCGCTGGCGAAGCGGAGGAAGCCAAATCCCCTGCACCCACACGAGACAGGAAAGGGTCTAAGTGAACACCAGAATAGATGTGGCACCGTGCAAAAGATACAGCAAAGAGGTGATGTGCACACAGATACAGACATAGACACACACATATGCACACACACAACACACACAGACACATACACACACGTACGTACGCACAGGCCTACCTGGAAGAGCTGCCGTTGCGATCGTAAATGACTGTGTGGCGTCAAACACGATGCAGTGATGCATGACGTGCGTGAGAACAAGTGATGCACTGCAATCAAGTCTCAGAGAAACGAGAGCCACGCCTATGCACGGCACATCATACACAATCAGGCGCTCGCCTGCAGAGCACACGCGTACGTATCAGCACAAAGCAAGTCTCACCCACCCTTGGCACCACGAAGGGAGGAAAAGTACTGGCGAAAGTGGCTCTGCATGTGGTGAAGCATCAGCAGACAGCCATGAGAGGGAAGGGGGTGTTGATGGGTCAGGCTGAGGGATATTGATGCATACACCAACGAACAAGAGGCGTGCTCATCCACACACGTGAATCATCACACGTGAATCATCGTTATCACTCGTGACCCGTACCATCAGCTGGTAGCTGTCAATGCTCGGAGGCAGGCGGCCAACGTAGATGGACGAGATGTGGGTCCTTTGGTGCAGTCAAGAACAGCAAGGGCGGTGAGGAATATGAGTTTGAAACACGCACACAAAGGCACATGGAGTGTGTGAGTGTGTGTGTGCCTGGGTGTGTGTGTATGTGTGTGCTTGGGTATTTGAGTGTGTGTATGTGTGTGTAAGAGCTTTGGAGATGATGCACATGGGCTTCATCTCCACAATGCCATCTATTCGCATCACGTTGCGCTCACGTCTGCTGCTGGCAAGCCCAGTTGAGGTAGAAGATCCGAGTCTGGCAACGGTCAAATACAGTGTGCGTGTGCGTGTGTGTGAGTACGTGTATGTGCGCGTGAGTGTGTGTGAGTACGTGTGTGTTTGCGTGGAGTGTGCGTGTGCGTATGTGTGAGTATGTGTGAGTATGTGTGTGTGTGTGTGTGTGTGTGGAGTTGGCTTCATCAATGGAGGTGTTGTTGAAGATTGAGTGGGCGAGTGCAGACAACGCATATGGGAATAGCGGCACGATGGGTCGCGTGCTGTGCTGTACATGATCGCTCACCGGCTGAGTTGACGGGATGGGCTGCCCGTTCATGTGGTTGAGGGCGTTGGTGGCCTCCTCCACAGTGGCGAAGCTGATGAAGCAGTAGCCGGCGGACGTCTCCCTGCCGCGCGTCTGGATCAATTTATGAAACACACACACGTGAGTGCAGAGGTAGAGTAGCGTGGGCGCAGGGGGAGACGCACGCACACACACACACACACACACACACACACACACACACACACACACACACACACACAACAACAACAACACACACACACACACACAACAACAACACAACACACGAGTGTATATATCTGAGAACGTGATCCCTGGCGCCAACAACAAGAGTGGTTAGCACGGTGACTGGATTGTTTTTCTCACTTCAGGATCGGTGAGCGTACCTCAGACGGGTCCACTTGTAACTTCCAAAACCTGCCTTTCCTGGTAGGGCGGGCCATCATCCCAAGGTCCAGAGCAGTGAACTGGAGCGGCTAGAAAGTGTTAACCAAAGACACACACACACACACAAAAGCAAACATCACACACACAAGCAAACATCACGCACGCACACACACACACACACACATACAGCAAACATCACACACACACACACACGCACACACAAACACACGTCAACTTGCGCGACACACTGACAGCGGTACAGCGCTGAGCGCAGACGTGTCAACTCACCACTTTCTGAATGACGCGGACCAGTGTGGGGGTGAAGCCATAGACCTGGAAGGCGTCCATAATCTCTGCTTCGCCCATGTCGCGCTCGAGCTGTTCAAGAAGCGAAATCAAAACAAACACCACAAGTCCATACCAAACAATACACAGGCACGAGCACACATGAGCAAGCGCAATGGCCAACGATAACCACACAGATCACACACACATGAATGCGCATGCTGTCCCAGGGATCACTTGGTCAGGCAGGCAAGCGTTCTCGTGGGCCTTGACACTGGTTTGCGGGCAGCAAAGCCAAGCGGCCAAGAAACACGCACAAACACAACACACAGCACAAACACAGCAGCACTCGCTGATGGTTTTGTTGACAAGGGAGGGAGGGAGGGACTCACGTCGCCCATCCAAAGGGTGGTGCGCGGGTTGCGCCCACGGCGCTCCTCCGAGTGCATCGAGCCACTGAGGTGGGCAGCAGTCTCGTGCGAGGCGGAGGAGGCGGGCGGCGCAGGTGGGGGTGGGGCCGGGCCATCGCCCACAACGGCGTGATCGTCGGGCTTGCTCATGCTTGCTTGCTTGCTTCTTTCTTGCTTACTTGCGTGCTTGCTGCGGGTGCTTTGTTGTGGAAAGCAGACAAGGTGCGATGTGAGTGTGGAGGTTTTTCCTTCTTTCAATTTTCCCACCAATTTTCAAGAGGAGAGGGGTGTAGTGCTGGGCCGTTACGAGCGCGAAATCGAAATTTTACTGTCACGCCAACAGAAGTCATCACAGCTCGTCGTGCTGGCGCCCCTCCTCGCCTTCTGACGTGGGAGCAGCACAGGCCGCAGGCGTCTCAACCCTTCGTCGACGTGGCGTGGCCACAAGGACGTGCAGGGCAATCGATTGATCGGTCGATGATCGTTGTTAATTGGGTTGTGTGGGTTGTGGTGTGCATGTGTGTGTGTGTGCGTGTGTGTGGCCAATGGGAAGGATGTGAGTGAGAGGAAAGCTTCATCTGCTGGCTCGAGTGCTGTGGCAAGTGGGAGAAGCTGCGCGTGCGGGCCAAGTAAAAACAAAACAAATAATCCAAGAGCGGGAAAAATTTGAAGGAGCACCACGTGAAATATTATCACAGGATGGTAATGACTGACACTCGAGGATGAGTGTTGCGCATGCCACAAGGACGACTTACCGCATCATATACTCGCAGCGGTTCGGCTCACCAACTTCAACCACCTTGGTCTCTGTTCCACAAACGAACATCACCTGTGTGCGCGCGTGTGTGGCGTGTTTGTGCAAATGAGCATGGGGCCGAGAGAAGTAAGCATGCATGTACGGGCGTGTTGCCAGGCAAGACTGTGTGCGGGCGCTATGCAACCCACCTGTGTAGATCGTTCTGGGCCGTTCCAGCACTTTTCGCCGTGGGCAAACGTCGCCTGCGAATAGTTGGGCTGCCCTGCTTCCGTCTCCCATCCTTGCCATGACCTTAAGCGTGCAACCAGGCCAAAGAGGAGAGAGGGCCGGGCGGGAGATGCGGTGAGGTTGAGGGTGTTCGAGGATGTTGAGCGCACACGCAGCCGCTATCACAGGTCAACACACAAACGCACGCGCGAAGACAGAGATGGGTACACAGCACACGAGACAGGTAGACATACAGATAGAAAGACGCACAGACAGACAAAATTCACAGGCAAACAAACAAGTGCGTCCGGGGGGGGTTACCCAAGGCTGGTGGAGCGGCCGCCGTTCTTCGGCTCCTGTGTCACGCGATCGAACATGCAGAGCTTGTACCGGTACCTGTTCAGAGGAGGCAGGACAGACACATGTCAGTGTGTGTGTGTGGGTGTGTGTGTGTGTGTGTGTGTGTGTGTGAAGGTTATGTTGGGTGGCAGCAACGAAAGCACACACGCGGGCGAAGTAAGAGAAAGGGAGCGTAGGAACGCAAGCAGGGAAATACAAAAGCACACACGCACACACGCACACACGCACGCACATGTACACACACACACACACACGCACGCACATGTACACACACACGCGCGCGCGCACACACACACACACACTCTCTCTCAATGTGCACAAGCAGGCTCATGCAGGACCATGCACTCACTCGCGATCCACAATGTCGAAGCACTCCTCAAGCAAAGGGAAGAACTCGCTGTGGTGCCCGACATCAAACTGCAAACCCAAAGAGGAGGTGGACATTGGCACGGCAATGAACTGGTGATTCTTGCGCGTGGAAACGCATGCCACACTCATCACATGCATGCATCCTTCACACAGACGCACAGATACCCACCCACCCACCCACACACACGCACACACACACGTTCGCACCATCCATCCCCCTCAACCGGCCTGCTACGTACGCCAAGGTGCTTCTCGATTGTCTCTAGCTCGCGCTGGAGGTCCAGGCGCTGGTTCTCCGCCGCCGTGAACGCCTGGCGCGCCTCCTCGGCAGCTAAACAACAGCGGCAGTTGCGAAAAGGAGTGGTGGGGGGGGATGTTGCGAATTAAGGGCAAGGGCACGTGCATGAGCTTGCTATGCATTTCTTGAGCAGTAGACATGCATGTTGTGGTAGATGCTCACACACGAAACGCGCACGTGCACGCGTTCGCACACAACACAACAAAATGCACACAACACACACAACAAAACGCACACAACACACACAACACAACGCACACAACACACACAACAAAACGCACAGGCACACACATACACGAACACAAGCAGGCAGGCGGCCTTGTGTGAACCTGAGATGAGGGCTTGGATGTCCTCGTCATATGGGGGCTTGTCTGCGTCCGTGTGCTCCTTCACTGCGCCCTCCCGCTCCGAAAAGCGAGACTTGATGTCGGGGTAGATGCTCTCCGTGAAGAACTCAAAGGTCACCTGCGCCTCTTCGTCGCTCAGCGCGCTGTCGTCGTCGTCGTCAAACACAGACATGAGCTCCTCCTCCGACACGGCACCGTCCTTGTCCTCATCAAACTCGGGGTGCTGCAGGTGTACATGTGTGCAAGAGAGAGAGAGAGAGAGAGAGAGAGAGAGAGAGAGAGAGTGTGTGTGTGTGTGTGTGTGTGTGTGTGTTTGTGTGTGTGTGTGTGTGTAAGTGAGAGAGAGGGTGTGTGTTTGTGCTTGTGTGTGAGAGTGTGTGTTGCGGAGTGTGTGAGATGTCATGAATCAGACACACACGGGAGCACACGTCGTACCTGCTTTGCTTCCTCGAGGGTGATAACGGCGTCCTTGTTGATGTCGAGGAGATCAAAGAGCCAGCGCTTGGCGCGGTTTGCCTGGGCAGCCACGGTCTCTGCAACGCGGAGGATGGTACATGGGAATGGGCGAGTCTCATCACGCACAGCAGTGACAAGCGTGGGCATGAAAGGGGACAGGAGGGTAGGCGGACAAAGTGTGGCACACGACAGAGATAGACAAACACACTCACACATACACACACGAGACAAGCACACACGCTACATTCACCCCTACAGCAAGCACACAGACACACAGACACACACAAACAGACAAACAGAGCACACCCAAACACACACACGCATGCAGACCTTTCCAGGTGGCATCAAACTTCTCCTTGGCCTCCCGCTCTGGGGTCTCCACGTCCATCTTCTTCTGCTCAAGGTCATCCACCTTGCGGGCAACCTCCTCCACCTCCTGCTCCAGCTGCGCCTTGCGCGCGGCTTTCTCCTGTGTGCAAAGAGCCACCATTCAACAACACGCGTCAGGCGTGTTTGCGAACACTTGATGCCACGGAGCATTCCGACAGAGCGGACGCCGTCGACATGCAACGTCGTCTGCACAACCTTCCTGTGGCACAAAAGATGCACTAGATCGTGGAACCGCAGGTACGCACAGACACAGGCGCGCGCACAACAGCATAGATACACAGACAGACAGACGCGCGCACACACACAGACGACACGTAAGCATACCCCCCCCCCATTCTACAAACACACACACACACACACCTGCTTGGCTTGTTGCCCTTGCTGGATGAGTGTCTGCTTCTGAGCAAAGCCTTCGCGTTGTACACGGCGCATGCGCTCTGCCTCCTCTCGGGCGGCACGGCCAGCCTCTTCACAGGTGTTCTCGCACAGGATCAGGCCGTTGTACTCATCTGTTCCATCGCAGCAGTCACAGACACCATCGTTCACGCGCGTCGACCGAAGCAAGAGCGGCGTGTGCAGCTTGTTGGCGCAGTAGAACTGGCCGTTGGAGCAGGCAGACGTCCCTGCCAGCGTGTGTGCGTGTGTGTGTAAGTGTGCGTATGTGTGTGTGTGAGTGAGTGAGTTGGGGAGGTGAGCATGTGGACGCGCACTCAAAGGGACACTAGACATGTGCGTGTGTGCGTGCTGGGGGGGGGGGAAGGAATGCACCTGGCTCGTCACTGCCGTCGGCGCAGTCGCAGAAGTCATCGTTGATGGCCGTGACAGGGATGCTGGCGCTTCCGTCAAAGCACGTGAATTTGTCCTTTGCATCTTCATAGCGGTGGAGGTCTAGCGTGGGGCGTGCACGCATGTGTGTTTGTGTGTGTTGTGTGTGAGAGATTACGTGTGAGGGTGTGAGTACGTGTGAGAGAGAGTGTGTGTGTCTGTGCGGGCGTGTAAATGGGAATAAACCAGGTACATGAGCGAGACACACACACACACATGCACACACACATGCACACGCACACATACACACATACACGCACACACGCACACACACACACACACACGCACACGCACACACACGCACACACGCACACGTACATACACGTACACATACACACACACATACACACGTACACACGCACGCAGACCTTGTGGCTTTGCTCCTCGGAAGGACGGGGCAGCGGTTGCACCGTGGCCAAAGACAGCCACAGCCACCAGCACCAACACCACAGCAGTGCACGTCAGCAGCTTCATCATCGTTGTTCGAGTTGCTGGCGGATGACGAAAAGTGTCTAATATCGTCCATAATCGTCATTACCAACCAACCAAAGCCCCACCACAACACAAACAGAACAACACCCCAACAACACAAACAACAACATCAACATCCAGCCAGCACCATCATGGGGACGCGAGAGAAGAGCGCACCAGCTGAAACGCCGACGTGGCAACAGGAAAACGGGGATGTTGAAGACAGCGAGGCAGACACCGCAGCTGCGATGCTGACCTCAAACTCGGAAGGTGGCGTGCTTGCAGGCATGATTCGCGACTTGTACGCGGAGATTGAAAGCGCCTGTCCTGAGGGCTGTTGGGAAACCATGAGGTCAGCAGCACATGCAGCTTGTGCACTTGCATGCGGCTGCCCACATGCAGTGTACTCACTTGCGTGGTGGGGTTGCTGAGCCTTGCCAGCTTGCTAGCGTGTTGGAAAGATAGAAAACTAGAAAGAACGTTTCTCTTTCTCTTCTCTTCTCTTCTCTTCCCTGCTTGTTGTTGCCTCTGCCTCCTCTCATCCACACCCCAACACACTATTCACACACTATTCATGCTGTTTGCGCTTTCCCGTGGTTGATAGGGAGTCGTGCCTTGCTTGCTTGCAGCAGTCGCTTGAGCTGGAGCTGGAGCTTGCAACGGAGCGCCGCAAGACGTGGGACTCGCGCAAGGAAGTGGACGCATTGGCTGGTACGTGCTTACTGCGTTGGCGTCCGTGTTGGCATTGAGATGTTGATGTTGGCGTTGGCCATCATCATCATCCCTTCTATTTCTCAGTGCTACAGTCATTCATCTGCAAATGCAGTTCTGTTTCCTCTGTTTAGGTTTAACATCGTCGTGCTGTTGCCAGCAGCTCTGCACGATGGTTTTAACGACTGCCTCATGCCTGTGTCTTGATTGGCTGCAGATCACTTGGAAGCCACGGTGAAGCGTGCACTGCTTCATAAACAACGGGTACAGTATTTGGAGGATCACACTTCGAGTCTGAAGAAGCGCATTGCAACGCTGCAGACTCAGCTTGATGCCGCGTCCCTTCAAAAACGGTACGCCGATTTGCTCATGTGTGTATGTGTGTGTGTGTGAATGAGTGTGTGTGTGTGTGGTTTGTAGCGTGTGTGGATGGATGTAGGGCATGTGCGTGCCCGAGTCACCGTGCATGTCACCTCGTTGGCTTGCTTCGCGGTCGTGTTTCTTGCAAGGCAGTTCACGTCTTTCCACCGTCATCCACATCCTTCGTTTCTCACCAGCACATTACGCTCATGCCCCCATCTCCCTCATCTTCCTGCTGCCAACCGTGCGACAGGAAAGCTACACAGCAACAACAGCAGCTGACGACGCAGTCGCGGTTGCGAAGAACAGACTTGAGTGGCGGGTTTGCTGGGACTGGCACTCGATCAACAGCCATGACGTCTGCATCCACCATGTCACGGTCACGCACCTCGGGCTCACCACGCTCGTCCAAGACCACAGATCCCATCCAAGCCCGCGTGGACGTCAAGGAGCTGGCCCGCTTACGAGAGGTCGTGCCGCCTTGTGCATGTGTGCGCATGCATGTGTGTGTCTGTGTGTGAATGTGTATGTGTGTGTATGTGCGTGCGTGCGTGTGTGTGTGCGTGCGTGCATGCGTGCGTGTGTGTATGTTTGTGAATGTACGTGCATGTATGTGATGGTGTGTGTATGTGTGTGTGTGTTTGTGAACGTATGTGATTGTGTGTGTGTGTGTATCTATGTCCAGATGCGCGGTTGACTGGTTGACTGGTAGTTGACTGGTTGACTGGTTGACTGGTGAGGGCTGGGCGCTTCCTCCCACTGCCGTGTGCTGTGAATACACCCTCCTCCTTGCTCTCCCCGTTCTCCTCCAGTCTTCGTGTTCCCTTGTTCGGACTCATCAATCCCCCCCCCCCTCTATGCACTGCACGAACGGCTACCCTCTCTTACAACAGATCAACGCCAAACTGGAGAAGCAGCTTACGCAACGGGACCAACGTGCGTGCCATGTGTGTGTGTGTGTGTGTTGGGTGAGGGGCGAGAGGATCTGTTGCCATTGCGTGCGAGAGGCTATTACCCTCGCCTTGCTGGCATTAGCTTTGTCTGTCTGTTTGTGTGCATTTCGGCTTGTTAGGCACGTGAGGGCTGGTGCCTTCAGACTACATCACGCTCATCGTTGCCGAGAGGTCATTATCCAGTCAGCACCCGCAATGCTGACGCCTTGCTTGCTGCCTTCGCTTGCTTGTGCTGGGCGTGTTACAGAGCTTGCCGTGGTGCAGGTGCAGATGGAGTCATTACGGGACCAGGTTGAGGAAAAGGCGCGATTGCGACAGCGTGTCAGGGAGTTGGAGAGTCAGCTTCAGGCCATGTCACACTCACAGCTAGCCATGCGAAGGCAGCAGAAGAGACAGCATCGGGAGCAGGTACTGCGTGGTCATGATCGTGTGCGGGAAAGCGCTGGGGAGGGAAGAGGGAAGCACAACTTGCACGCACGAGAGAAGCACAGGTTATCATGCGTGTTGCCTCTTTCAATTGCTTTGTATGTATGTCTGTATGCTTGTATGTGTTTCCCACATGGCTCACCAGTCACACACTCACACATGCAGTTGTGGAGGAAGCTGGAAAAGGCGCTGTCGCAGCCGAAGAAGCAAGCGGGATCCTCCCGCTCCCCTTCGCATGGTGCCGCTGGCGTGAATGGGGGAGCAGCCCGCAACAGCAATAGAGCCGGAAGGCGGCACCACTCACAACAACATCATCAGCGAGGCGGAGGAAGCGACCACTACAACAACCATAACAGCGCTCGTGCTTTCAACACATCCTTTCCCAGCATAGCTTACCCTGCCTCTTCGCCACCACCTCCACCAGCATGATCATGTTAATGAAGAAGAAAGAAGAAGTAGAAGACACGCAGCTGTGCATACTGAATGAGGCTGTTTGGGTTTGTGAGTGTAAGTGTGAGTGGCTTTCCTTGTCGTGCATGGCAAAGTAAATCGCGTTCTAATTTGATGTAGGACTTTCAAGGAGAACGAGAAAGGAACCAGCACGAACCAGAGATGAGCGCTTGTGAGCGGCTGCGGGTGTTGGTGGTGACGGCCGAGTTTGTTGATCCCATCTTCAGCGGGAATGGGGTGCTGAGTCGGTACGTCTTTCGAGGTGCTGGCGAGGAGGGTGAAGAGCTGGAAGGAGATGGGGTGGGGGGGGGGGAGTGTAGGTTTGGGGAGAGGACTACGACACACAAGCAGATTCCACACACAGCGATGTTGGCTCCCTCACACACACACACACACACACACACACACACACACACACACACACACACACACACACACACACACACACACACACACACAAACATTAGGTCGTTGTGCGAAGGGCTGCACTCCATTGGTCACAGTGTGTTCGTGCTGTGCGCCCGTCCAAAGGACGCTGACCCACCCACCACTTTTCCCTGTCATGGAGCAACACACGTGGTGACCATCCCCGTGACAACGTAAGCGTAAGCGTGCAGGCGTCTCCGTGCCTGTGTGATGTCGTGTAATGGAATGGTACGCAAGCACTCCAACGCACCAAACTCGTTTGTGTCACCAGCCTCTCCCTGCTGCTCATCACCTCTGACTTGCCGAACATGTGCCTGCAGGTGGCGGCGGTTGGACCGGTATGGCCACTGGGAAGAGATGGCGCATGGAGTCACACCGCATGTGATTGAACGCATCAAGGCCTTCAGCCCCACCACCTGTACGTTGTCTCAGCGACTCACCGCCCCTTGTCTGAGGTTGTTTCTCACCAAGCGACGCACTTTCTGCACAGCAAGCGAACACACATCCAACACACATCCAACACACATCCAACACACACACACACACATCCAACACACAAACAAGCATCCAACACACAAACAAGCATCCAACACACAAACAAACACACACACACACGCACACACACACACACACACACACACACACACACACACACACACACACACACACACACGCACACTGCGACAGGCCTGTTTGTGGATTGGACGACACTGGCAACCGTGCGGCAGCTGCCGTTTCACAATTGGACATTCTTGTGCTTTCGCACGTTCGCAGCAAGCACAGAACTCCACGAACACCCGGATGACGAGGCCTTTTACATCAAACATGAGCGGGTATGTTGGTACACTTCTTGTGTGTACGTGCATGCGTGTGTCTGTGTGTGCTGTGTTCACGTGCTTGCGCACATGGACATGTGTCTGTGGTTGAAAACAGACGATGCCTCTCCTTGTTGTTGCCAGCACAACCGCATGTGTCACATGTGCGCCCTCTTATCACAGGCGAGTCTTGAGCTGGCACCAAAGACCATATGCCTGTCCTGCGCAGACAAACTCGCTTTGCAGCGGCTGCGTCACACAAGAACCTCGTCAGCGACACAGGAGCCATCAGTGTCCCAGCACCCAGGCCGCCACATCCACGTGCTGTACCCACCGCTTCGCCACGAGTTTGCACACTTGCCTGAGCCAGCTACGACTGTCACAAGCAGCATTGTAGACAGCCGGTGTACGGATCAAATGGCGACAACAACACCAGCGAGCACCAGCACCAGCACCAGCACAAGTGCACCTGCCACCAGCACCATCAAAACTACCACCACCAACAACGGGGAGTCCCGGCAACCTCAGTCGGCACCACACGTGCGCCGGCTGCTGTGTTGCGTGCGGCTGTCCCCAGAGAAGGGGGCAATGCGGTTTGCTGAGATGGTGGCACATTTGCGCGAGGACCTGCGCCGGCACAACATCGTTCCCACGCTCTGTGGTGCCGTCGCTGATGCCGATTACGCAACCGCCGTGCGACAGGCGCTTCGGTCCACCAGTCCAAACTGCCAAGTCATCAACAGGTTCCTGGACGCCCGTGCACTCCAACAACTCTTCCGCGAGACTGTGATCAACGTGCACCCGTCCCTGCATGACGCCTTTGGCATGACAATCGTGGAGGCGGCGGCTTGCGGTGCAGTGTCGCTCGTGTCGGATGATGGCACCGTTGGCGCTGTGGATCTGTTTCGTACCACCGCCGCAGCCCTCACCAGCCAACGCCACACACACCACGCCGAGGCATCCGCAACCACAACAACAAACAGACCTGACACAGACACGGCCCTGGTGGGCGTTGTCGAGACATCAACGCTTGCATGTGCACCCTCTTCCTCGATGCCGTCGATACCTGGTTCGCTCCCGCTGCTGTTATGCGACGTCACCAACCCACAAGCGTGCGCTGCCCGCATCCGTGCATTTCTCGCGCTGCCCGATGCAGAGAAGCACGAACGACAGCGGCAGTGCCATGCCATTGCCAACTCATGGACGCGCACTCAATACGCACGTGCGCTGGCAAACATCGCTGCGAGTGCTGCATGACCGTGATGGTGATGTTGGTGGTGAAGGTGGTGTTGATGGTGCGGGTGCTGCGGTCACATGTCGCTTTACTCTAACATCATGCAAACGAAATAATAAAAGCGCAAGACAGCTGCAGCAGACAACGTGCACTATTGGTTGCAGACACAGCATAGATATAACACAAGCTGACGTACAGGCAAGGGGATGTGTAGAAACACAAAAAGGACACACACACACACACACAAACACACACATACACATACACACATACGTGCACACACATACACATACACACATACGTGCACACACATACACATGCACACATACGTGCACACACATACACATGCACACATACGTGCATACACACAAATACACACGATCATTCATCCAGCGCCTCACACGCCGCCTGGTAGTACTGCTTTGATACGAAATAGCACTGGCTCCGTCGCAGCTGGCACTTCTTGCCGTCCCAAAACCGGACCGTAATCGCATGCAGCGTGCTCGCCAACACCTATCACACACACACACACACACGCGCGCACATGAGTAAGATGCATGCAGGAAGGCAATGGTGTGGTGGGCGTTCGTGCACACAAGAGCACGCCACACCCAGCATGCAAACGAGCAGCCATGCCTCTCCCGCTCTTTGTGCTTTCTTCGCATGCCTTCGACAACGTGGTCGTACATGCGCGCGTGTGTACCTTTGCTGGGCCGAAGATGCTGTGTTCGTAAGGGTCGCCAGGCTCGCCGTGGTAGTGGAGAGCAATGGCGTGGTCCCCTGCTCGAAGCACGTGCTCCCCTTCGCCATCGCGCGAGTGCGCAAGCATATGGCGCGGCTCCTATTGTCGATGTCGTTGTGGAAAGCAAAATCGAACGTGAGTACGAATTTCGAACACACACACACACACACACACACAAACAAAAATAAACAGACGCGAACACAAACAGTCCCGACAAACAGAACGCCAGTGTCAATGGCAGCCACCAGCAGCAACAACAAGCGAGAGAGCAGCACCTGCGCGCGGACAACATGACCGTCGTCGAGCGAGATCTTGAACCAGCGGCCGCTGCGTGAGAGACGACTGAGCACGGTTCCTTCGTAGTACAAATTGTCTTCGTCATAGCGGCACACCACACGCATGCCCACCCACGCATTGTCACGCTCATTGCAGAACGCGCACAAGCTCTCGTACAACCTGCACCCGCATCACGCACACCAACCAACAACAGGAGGTATGAGACAACACAACAAGGGAACAGGGTGCAAAGTGGGGCACTTACAAACATAGATGGCCACACACACACACACACACACACACACAGAGAGAGAGAGAGAGAGAGAGAGAGAGAGAGAGAGAGAGAGAGAGAGAGAGAGAGAGAGAGAGAGAGAGAGAGAGAGAGAGAGAGAGAGAGAGAGAGAGAGAGAGAGAGAGAGAGAGAGAGAGAGAGAGAGAGAGAGAGAGAGAGAGAGAGAGAGAGAGAGAGAGAGAGAGAGAGAGAGAGAGAGAGAGAGAGAGAGAGACCCACACAGACACAGACACACCCACACAGACACAGACACATACACACACAGACACACAGACACACAGACACACACGCACGCACACAAACACGCACCCCTGATCTGGCAGCGTGTAAGCGGTGACGTCGCAGAGGGGAATGCCGGTATTGTCATAGAAGACGACAGCAAGATCGCCATCCTTGTCCACCTGCACTTCACCGGGGCAGAAACTCTCGTCAAAGAGCGGGTGCTCTGCCAGCACCTTCGCCCCGGCAGCACGCGGCCGCTCGCAGTCGTCCAGTGAAATCAACGTGTTGTCCGCCTGGTTCATAATCGTGGTGTGAGGTGTGTGTGTGGTGTGTGGTGCATGTGTGGGAACGAATTAGTGGAGAAAAAGGCGCATGGGATGTACAAGGGAAGTTCAGAGCAGCGTATCGTCCACATCACGTTGTTACGTGCACGATGTTCACGCAACATCACACACACACACACACACTCACACACAGACACAGACACAGACACACAAACACACAGACACACATGCGCGCACACACAATACGCACCACGCTTTCGACGAGCATGTGATCGTCCTCCACGCAGTAGACGCCGCCGCCAAGATAGTCGCGAAGAAGCGTGATGTAGAACCAGCCATCCTCATGCCAGCGTGCAAGCACAGCCTGGCCAACAAGGTCGAGCGCGCGCGTGCACGCCTGTGCATCCCGATCGTGATCCGAGACGACGACGGTTCGCTGCTGGTCGCCAGCACGAAGCGGTGGGCCCTGTCGTGAATAAAAGGCGCACACAGTAGCGTTGTTGTTGTTGTTGTTGTTGTTGTTGTTGTTGTTGTTGTTGTTGTTGTTGTTGTTGTTGTTGTTGTTGTTGTTGTTGTTGTTGTTGTTGTTGTTGGTGGTGGTGGTGGTGATGGTGAATGGAAGGCGCGACGGTTTGGAAACAGACAAACAAAGGGTGCAATGACAGCGTGCATGTTTCAGATGCAGTCAAACACCTACAGTCACACACAGCCATATCCACGCACACACAGATACAAACAGACAATGTGTGGGTGCAACGGCGCAGCGCGGCAGACCTTTGGGTCGAAGAAGAAGGCAATCTCCCGCTCAGCATGCAAGACGGACTGGCTTCCGTGCAGCAGTGGCGCGTTCACAGAGTTGCCATTCACGTCCGCACCTGTTGCAAAGGAAGAGGAAGCAGCGGTGAGGTCGAGGGTGAGGAGGGTGGGCGGGGAATACGAAAGAGTAGACGTGGGAAGGGCACCCACACAGATACAGACGAAGAGATGCGACACACACACAGACACACACAGACACACAGACACACACACACACACACGCACACACACACAGAGACAGACAGACAGACAGACAGACACACACACACACACACACACACAGAGGGACACGCACCAATCATGCGACGCCATGATGCAATAACGCCCGGGCCTGAGAGGACTGCCACGTGACAGGGGCCTTCGGATAATGCTTCCACCAATGCGTCATACACGCCGTGCTGACTACGGTATTCCCAAAAGAATTCGCGTGCGTCCTGTTGACCAAAGCGTTGCATTGGATCATATGAGCTTTCACTCCAACAGCATACCAGCACACACACAAACAGGCACACAGACAGACAGACAGACAGACACAGACACGCAGACAGACAGACACACACACACACACACCTCGCGTGTGAGTTTGCAATCTCTGGAAATGACGACACGGTTTCCAGCTTCAATTGCCTGTAGCAATCACGACACACATAGCACGCACACGCGCATGCACAAGGGCACATGTGCTATTGTGAGCCGGAGAAAAACCGGGGTTGCGCTCCTCCTTACACTTGGTAAGTCAGTCTCCCCTCCCACCACCGCCACCACCACCACCATCACCATCGAATCACAGACCTGGTTGATGGCCATATCAGCGCCCCCAGCGGCAAACGTGCGCGGAAACACAATGGCAAGTGTGCGTTCAATTGCCATCTCAACAGCAACACCAAACGTCAGGCTCTGGTTCGTGTCGCCAGGCGACGGCGTGTATGCGAGCGCAGCATTCCCTGTGTGCGGGATGGACAGGAGGTTGGTGGGCGTGGACATGGTCACAGACGGCGAGGGCGTTGCGAGCGAACTGTCGCTTCTGTTCGTGGATGCTGGACCAGGCGTTGCTGGTTCCGTCACAAAGATGTTTGCAGGCACTGCCGACAGGACGCCCTGATGCTGGTGTTGCTGCTGCTGCGGCGTCAGGGCTGGCGATGGCTGCTCCCCATACAGGGACGCGCCCAAGTCGTGCACGTCCCAATCAAGCGTCTGCATTTGCACGTGGACACATGTGTTAGTGAAGTGGAGATGTGAATCTGTGTAAGGTTCTGTTGTTTCGTTTGGGTGAGGAATTCCGGAAGAGTGCATCGGTGCACACAAGAGCACGGCGAGCATCCCATCACACCACGTCACACCACGTCACATGACATCACCTGTTGAAGGCCTGGCGAGTGGCCCAAGAAGCTCGCTGTCATGGCGCCAGGGCTGCTGGCGGTATCGAGGCGATGATGATGCAATGGGGTCTGGTGGTAGTTGGTGAAAGAAAAAGATTCACGCAATCATGAGGTTGGTATTCAGCAAGGCGCCGATGCAATGGAAAGATGAATATGGACACACACACATACACACACACACACACACACACACACACACACAAACAAACAAACAAACAAACAAACAAACAAACACACAAAACAAGCAAACACACAAAACAAGCAAACAAACAAACAAACACATACACAGACTGACACAAACAAACAAGACACACAAAGTGTCAGCAGTGTCCTCTTTCACATGTCACATGTACAATGAAGGCAAGTCACCTGGGGCACGGTGCCAGGAGGTGTACCGGGCCCAACGTCAGACTGCAGGGTCTGTGTGCTGGCGGTCTTGCCGACGGAGCCACGTGCCTGGTGACTGCGACCGGGGCGCGTGCTGCGTTCATCAACATCGCCACCCAAGCCATCGTCACCACCACCATCGTCATCATCGTCGTCATCATCATCACGACCATCGTCATCTGACGACAAGCTCTCACTTGCGTTTGCTTCGGCCCACGACTCCTCCCGCCATGCCGGCTGCTCTCGGTCGACGGCGCACACATCTTCACCATCGCGACCACGACCAGCACGCGTCCCTGCACGCGTTGTCTTCTGACGGCGGCCTGTCTTCGCAGCACTGCTCTCCAACAGCTCAATAGTCTGAAACACATGCGTTGTGCGTGGGTGCGAGTGAGTGTGCGCGCGAGTGTCTTGTGTGTGTGTGTGTGTGAGTGTGTGAGGGTGAACACAATTTCGTTGAGACAACGGCACAGCATCGTGGGCGCTACAGGTGCTCATATGCATCTGCAAGCGCAGTCATGCGCCCAGGCACCTGTGCTCACACCTGCAGCTGTGATCTGAGCTTGTGGATGTGTTGGTCGAGTGTTGACTGGTGCTGGGCGAGGAGACGGTCGTGCTGTCGTCGCGAAATCTTCACGATTTCATCGCGAGCGCGATGCACTTGGACACTGTTGATCGTGTTTGACGAGGCGGAGGAGGGGGGGTGTCATGACGTGAGGGGTTGCGTGTTCGTGATAGTGAGACTGACAGCAGAGCCAGCAGCCACAGACAGACAGACAGGCAGGCAGACAGGCAGGCAGACAACCAAACAAGCAGACAGACAGAGAGACAGACAGACAGACAGACACACACACACACACACAGACAGAGACAGAGACACAGACACAGATACACAGACACCCGTACACCCGTACCCGTTGATGGCGATGACGGTAAAGGCAGCACCATCCGGTGAAGTTGTGGTGTCGGAAACTGTTCCAGGCAGCCACGCAGACTCGTTGCCTTTCACGCACCCACACACAAGCACGTGGTTGTCTGTACCCCGCGACACACGTCCATACACGGCGGCATGTTGGGTAAGTGCGAAGGTGGGCGCAATGAGAAACGGTAGGCAAACGACAAGCCACAAACACAACAAAGGCTGTTCATTCAGCGTGCACGTGAAGGATGTCATGTCGCGTGCTCACCTCTGCGGACAGCCACCGGACAATTTGTCCACCGCAAATACACGTCGTGCACAGGGACAATCGTTGGGGACGCGTCCAGCCCGTCCAGCTCCTCCTGCTCCTCATCGTCAAAGTGTAGTGCAATGTCGCCAGCTGTAGTGGTACCGGCAGTTTTGGCCGCAAACAGCCGTCCGCTCTGAAGGTGAAAAGAGACACACACGCACAGCGGTGGACGAGTGCACGTCAGCGAGGGCACCAGGCGGGCACGTACAGACACACAGGCAGACACACAGGCAAGACACACACACACACACACACATACACACACTTGCCTACACACCTGCGCGTCCACGGCGAGGACGTGCGTGCCAGGTCGCGATAGCTGTTGGGCGCGACGCTGGCGGTGATGGGTGCTGATGGGTCTCATAACACCACCACCGCCATCATCACCATCATCATCATCATCATCATCATCATGATCATCATGATCAGTGACTGCACCACGATTGTAGCCAAGGTCGCCATCATCGTACATGTCATCGTCTTCACCAATGTGCTGAAACACGTCACCGTCCTCGTCCCAGCTTTCGCTCGAGTGCAGTGCTGTCGCCAAGTCGTCGCGCAGGCTCCACCCGCGCGTGCGACGTCCCTCCTCTTCACCATCACCGTCATCACCACGAGCACGATCGCCACCACGGCGAAGATCATGATCACGATTACCAGCACCACTGCAATGGCGCCCCGAGCCTGCGCGACCACTTCGCTTCATGCGCTGCACATCTCCTGCCCGCAGATACCGCGGTATGCGCACGTGGCGGTGCGCAGACGCATTCACGGGTGGCGTCGACGTGGACTTGGGTGTGACCGCTGTGGTGGTGCGCGGGCGGCGCGCCTTGTTGTTACTGCTATTGCTGTTGTTGTTGAACTTGGTGCTCCTCTTGGTGTTAGTTGTGCTCTTCTGTGTGTTGGTGGAATTCTTCTTGGCAGTGTTCTTGCTGATGCTGTCGCCCTTGCGTCGTGTTGGTGTCGCCTGCACGGCATGACCATTGCGCACACCACCATCATCAACATCATCCAGCACAGCGCCACTGCTGCCAGCACCACGGGCGCCGCTGCGGCCACCCGCACGTGTGTGTGCACGTCGCGTTACGCGTGTTCGTGACGCCTGCTCCTTCCGCTGCAGAAATCCGGCTGATCTCGGGCGTGCACGTGCACTCGCGCCCCGCGCCCCACCAGCAGCGCGGTGGCGGCGGTGGCGGTCGGACGGACCTCCACGACCACCACCATCGCCAACGGCATCGAGATTATCATCGTGATCATGAGAATGGATGTCCTCTCCGTTCGCTGTTGTGTCGCGTGCGCTGCGCCTGATGCTGGGGTCCACCGTCACGCCAGCATTCTCCAGCATGTCGAACAGGCTGCTGCGCATCGGCAGCGTCTGCGCCTCTGCTCTGCTCGCATCCTTCTTGTTCGCCGCCATGTCCTTGAGGAGGGCGTATGTGCGGCGGCGGTTGTCGTGGACGCGATCAAGCTCTTGCCGCAGCAGCAGCATCCCGCGCACTGTCCTGCTCTCATCGCTATCCCCATCCTCATCGGCGGTGCTCTTGTTGTTGGCCGGTGTTGAGGAGAACGAAGACAGTTGGAGCGCGGGCACACTGCTCTTGCGCTTGTCATCAACAGCAGTGCCGCTGCCGTTGCTGCCATCACCCATCGCAGCATTGGCATGCGCACCATCACCGCCACCGTTCTTGCTGCCGTCACCATGCTCGTCGCTGCTCTGCATCGCCTGTGACCACTCGTCAAGCAGAGTACTCGCCACCTCCATGCGCGCTGCCGGCGCAACACGCGCCATCCTCAGCCGCTGTGTTGTTGTCATGCGCGTGCGTGCGTGCGCAAGGAACCGCTTGCAGTACACCTGCTCGACAGCATCAAGCCTGTCCAGATACAAGTTGAGGTTGGCGGCGGCAGGATTGACGAACAGCACCTCCCCGTCTGCCTCCACTTTGTAGAAGTTGAACACGTCGCTCAGCGCCTGCAGCGTGATAGGAATGTGTGTGTGTGTGTGCATGTGCGAGTGAGTGGAGGGAGTGTGCATACGGGAATTGCGTGGTAATGTTGATGTGTGTTGTGCACACAGCATGTGCAAATTGCCGAACGAACAAGTGTACTTCCACCTCTGTCTCGCTCTCTCCCTCCCTCTCCACACACACCCTTCCAACCTTCCTCTCCGCCCCCACCTCTGCCCACCTTTGCGTGGACGGTGCGCCCAATGCTGTGGACGTATTCGCTGCAATGCTTCACCACGGTCGGCTGCAGCACCTGTAGCAGCGTCAGCTTCAGGCTCTCCAGTGAATATGATTCAAGCCACAAGCGCGTTGGTTGCGACAAATCCGTCTTTTTTGGCAGCCGCATGTCTCTCATGTACTGGTACGGGTCCTGCTTACTTTTCGCGGGGGAGGGCGTCTGCTTGCCCTTGTGACGATTGCTGGTGCTGCCGTTGTTGGCGCCGCTGTTGTTACTGCTGCTTCTCATTGGTGTCGATCGTGGTGCTCGTGTGCTGCGCGCTGTCTTCCTCGTGCCCTTTCCGTGTGCCTGGTGCCGCGATTGCGACGGAGTGTGCTTCGATGATAACGATGACGAGGATGGAGCTGTCTTGGCTGTTGCGTTCTCTCGCGCTGACCCGCCCTGAGAAGGATTGCGCTTGCGTTCGTCCCTGGTGTTTGACGCACGGCGGCTTGTTGTCGCATCACCACGACTGCCATCTTGATGATGGTGGCGATGAGAGCTGTCGCCACCAGCAGAGGAGCGGTGCTTGCCGCCCTTCTTGTCGTTGGTGTTGGTGACGTGGTCGCTTTCACCCGCACT